GACCATGTGACTGATTTATCCAATATGCAATGCGGAAGTAAGGGTCACAAAATAGAGGTCATTTTCATTGAAGTGCACCATTCTGTGGTGCAACTGAAATGTAAAAATGCTCTGTCAGGTCAGTGCTCCTGAATCCGATGGTGAAGTTATTTTTTCGGAATTAATTAACCGTTTTCAAGCTATAACCCTTCAAATTTGTGATTGTCAAAACTTTCCGTGCGGTCTGTGAGGAATTGCACTTCGTCGAGGAAGCGATGCAGGCTTCAGTACAGAACACTGTATTTTTCTAATTCGATAAAAAACCAAAAAAACTTGTGGAGGAAATAGTGCGATGTGCATGTTACATTCACTAATTTTTTATAAGAACCAGTAAATTTAGGTTCAGAGTGACCGTTCTTAATTTTTGCAAAAATCTGAGGCTGGATTGTCCTTAATTTGTTCTTGAATAATTGGGTGTAAGCAGTGCGATTGCTAGCTTTTTCGCTCTTGGTAGACGTTCAGGCATTATTTGCCAACAAAGTGAGTGAGACAACCTCCATTTGACGACAAGATCAAATATTCACCGAAAAGCACCCACAGCATGGCTAAAAATCCTCGTTTTTGGGATAAAATGTTGTTCAAAATTGCATTATACAGTAACCCAGCCTTAGTATGTTCTTAATTTGTTCTCAACTTTTGACCAGTTTTGATGCTCATGTTCTTATGAATTTACTTTGTATAATAGAAAATATAAATATGAATAGTAAATGAAAAGGAGCGTCGGTATAAAGTTTTGATTGATTTGCAAATGCCAGCAATTTTGACACTCTCTGAACTCGAAATCTTGAAAAGAAGGCTGTTATTGTTCTTCTGCTTCATCTTTGTGTCAACAAATCTTCTCTACCATTGTTAAATCTTGATACAGATCTCTGTAACCAGATGATAGTGACGACCCCTTATTCTCTCTCTTCTGAATTCCTATTTTGAATTTTAAATTATTTTTACTTATTGAAGCCCCCCTCCCAATAATTGCAGCCTAAGCCTTATGTTCTGTATTGTAGTGTACTAAGTGAAATAAATACAATGAGCAGCCTTTTCGTTCCCACAGCACTGTCTCTGACAGTCAGATACCCTGGGCATCAGAGCCACATAAATTAGAGAGCGGAAAGAGAAGATAAGAGTACGCTCATTTGCTTCTCTGCTTGGAATTCTGTTTAGGCGCTCGAAATTTTGTGGCTCTGGTACCCAGCTGGGTACCAGACTCACTATATAAAATAATAGAGAGTCTGGTCTAGTGCGCCCCATTCTCGTTCTGGTGAACTTACTTGAAAGAACTGAAGTCTATTTAACAGACTAGGCCTGTGAAACAAGACTGTCGGGTAAAAAACAAAGATACTCAGTAGTCAGAGAAGTTTTGTGAAATTTTAAAGCAAATGCATTTTATATAGTTCTGTAAAGTCGACATTATTAATACAGTGATAATAGACTTTTCTGCCTCAAGATTCCAATCAAATCAGGCTTAAAACGCCATTTGGCAGCAAAAAACATGTGCGAAGCATGAAATTAAAGTTAGCACAATGCAGTTATTACAATTTAAATTTCGTATACAATTTAAAATAAGTCTTTTGTAATTTTCCTCACAAATTGTGTGTACTTTCAAAGTACTTCCTCACTGTGAAGGCAGCGCGCTTGGACACTGCGGCGGTTGAAATCGTCACATTGGGAGTTCACCACAGCAAATATGGCCAATACGACAAGCGAAATATTGGCCAAAACTGATTTACTTGTGTTTGTTGTTGTTTGATCTCAGCGCCTTGCGGTGTTTCTTATTTACTGCATTTCACTACAAGGCCTAATTTCTTTGCAATGAGAGGAACAGCCTGAAATATCAGAGACTTTCCAAAGCCGGTTGGCAGCATGGCGAAGGTGTCTCTTCTCTCTACAAACAAGGCTTTCATTGCTGTTCTGTGTTAAGTTCCACAACATGCGGAAAATATTCTTTGAGTACAGTTGAGTAAGATTGAACACATGGCTTAAATAACGGAAACCAGGGTTTGGGTGGTTTGAAGCGCATGTATTGGGACTTTAATCGCAATATAATCAGTCTAGGGCATTGAGTATTTGACATTAAGTTAAAAAATTTTCTCCAACGCGGAAGGGCCGGTAAATTTTTTGTACACAGTGGCAAAGTGGCGATCGCCACCCGGCCCAGACCGCCCCTGATCGCAAAAACGAGCTCTACTGCTCTATTCCGCCGGAGCTGAAGTCCAAGAATCTTTCGAAACCATTCCCGAAAATGGAGAGGATAATGTCTTCGACACTGCAGTCACCAAACTTACTTTACCTTTTGCACCATCACACAAAAATCTTTCAATTTCGACAAGCTCCACAACACGCAGGGGAAGCCCTTTAAAGGGCCTCTCCAGCCAAAAAAAAAATTTTTTATGGACTAAAAAGTTAGCATCTGGTGCGTGTATTATGGCAAAGTCGTTGTTTTTGCAAAATTCCAATTAGTTTAGAAGTTATAAGGCTTTAAAGTTGCACCTTTCCGAGAAAAAAACGACAAAAGCCGAATCAGTTTTGTGACATTCTGACGTCACAGTGTGCGGCTCTCGTTCGCCATGAATTTCGTATATCTTCCACCGAATCGTGAAGGAGTCATGGTCACGCGTTGATAACTGCATCTAAATCTAGAGCAGGAACTTTGTAGGATCGAAAAATATTAAATGTTTACAATAATTCTAAGTTTGCGGGTCGGAATGTGTCCATGCTGTGTCACGACTTTGTTTTGATCACCTGTGTAGGCCCACAAAGCTACGGATTCCGGTTCCAGCTCTTCCCTCACGTATAATTAATCGAAATTGACACTCCAGTTGTTCTCCAGAAACGATGAACAACTAAAGGCTTCAGAATTGATATCTGAAATGCTTAAACTAAAAGCCGGTGAAACAGAACTGAGAGTACCATCACTTGCAGTGTTCAATTTGCGAATCGCCGTCGTTTGATTCGGTTACTATGACGTCAAAATTGCGTCACAGTGTCACCAAACCGAAAAATTTTTGTCGGTTAATTCAATTCAATTATCGAAATGCAAGAGCTTTTATCTCACAAACTGTAGAGAATATCGGAAAACAAATAACGAATTCATGATCAGCAGGTTGAAATCCTTTAGATTAGCCAATAAAATGCAAGTGCAAAATTTGGCTGGAGAGGCCCTTTAAGAATTTCATGCCAGATTGAGGAAACTTTCCCCAACCATGCGAATTCGGTAAACCAGATGACGAAATAAAACGTCAGGTAATCTCAGGATGCTTAAGTTCTTCACTTCGCCGCAGTGCCCTGAAAGCTGAAAAACTCACTATGGTAGATTTACTATTGGGAAACGAGCTGAAGCAAGCAAAATGCAAGCGGAACGATGGGAATTCAACACCCTTTATCTACCAAACTTCAAAAACTTGAAATCTCCGAGGGAAAAACAGTTCACAAATCCAGAAACAAACCAAAACAAGTGAGAAAATACAGCAATACCTCCACACTAGCAGCTATAAAGAACTCAACGGGTTACAACTGTGGATTTGATTTTCCACACACAACTGGGCCATGCCCCGCTCGTGGAAAAACCTGCGGTTCATACTGGACTAAACGTAAATTTTTGATAATTAGATAAGATTAATACGGTATTTTACCTTCGGTAATATAATTAATTTTAGGAGGAAGGTGTGTCGCAAACCCTCCTTTGTATGTTCCTTTTACCTCTTAGGCCCCACTCCATAGCTTGCTTACATTTTCCCGTAGGCCCATTCATTTTAGGATTTAGGATTCTGTTTTGCATATCATTATCGTAGGCTTCCCTTTGCACGCACGTAAGCAAGTTTGCATCTTATCCATGCATCATAGTCTCGACATCCTCTTTCTTTGTTTTGTTTATAGGTGCGGGATTTTTTCCAGGATTGTTAGACCGTAATGCCTAGCAGGGGCGCAGTGGCTGGGGGGCAGGGGGGCAGGCAAAATTTTTTCGGATAGTCGGAAAATCCAACATTTGTCGGAAAATTTGAAATATTAGACAAAATGTAAGGTTTTCATCAATCCTGTCCTGAAGGTCGCACATTTTTTAAACCTATCGTAAAATAGGGCATGCTCAACCCTTCTTCCTTATTTTCATTAGAGTATTTATCGGAATCTTCGCATTGCTTAAATTTGTAAAGGAAATTAACGCTTTGGTCTCAGTTATTTTATAAACTCCCATTTCCGACAGCTAAAGTTCAACTCAGTTCATTTCGAAATGAATTCGCTGGTGTTATAGAAGACGCAAAAAGTTATTGTTTTCGCCATGACTTAGAAGAGCAAAATTTTGTCGAGCGACGAATACGCAGAAAGAAAAAGATGCCAGGGGAAAATTGCATGGATGTTTAGTAAATGCTGTTGCTTAGTTGTATTTACTAATTTAGTGAAAAACCAAAGAGAAACTCTCCACGTGTCTCTGTGAAACTTTATCATCAACTCAATTAAAAAAAATAGCTTTGTACAAACTCAAAAGTTGATAATAGAGAGTTATTGAATTTAATACAAAAAGAAGAGAAAAGAGCTAGATGAAAACAATAGAGCTAAAGAATTACTACGCAAGTTGAAAACAAAAGGTGTTCTCTGCTATTATTTTGTGAGTTCACTACAATAGCCCCCTCCTTAGAATGTGAGTGGTGGAGCAAAACAGGCGATTCAAACTCGTTGAGTACTAATAGCCATAGCGGTCCGGGAAATGTACTCGCCTTCCGGAACGAGTAGTTCGAGGCTGACTGACAGTTGAATTTTGTGGTGTCAATGAAGTCGTGGTATCAACTGGCAGGGGCGTGGCAATGTCAGATTCAGTATGGGCAACTTTCATACGGTCGAGACTGACAGTTTTTGGTTTTGCCTGCGATTTCGAGACGAAAGTATTTGTCATGACGCTCCAGCACTTTGAAAGGACCGTCATATGGTGGCTGCAATGGCTTTTTAACTGCATCGTTTCGTACGAAAACGAATTAAGATGTTGATAATCCTGGTGGACGATAAGACTGTGGAGTCTGGGGTCGAGGCGGTGTAGGAGAAAGGTCACGCATGGCAAATTGAAGCCGATTAGCATAGACAGGCGGGTCAAGCTTGGAATGTTCTGTAGAAGATGTAAAAAATTCACCAGGTAAGCGAAGATTGCAACCGAATACGAGTTGAGCAGGAGTGCAACCGATATCTTCTTTGACGATTGTCCGCAGGTGAAGCAGGATAAGTGGAAGAGATTCGCACCACCGGGTAGGATCAGGAGAAGCTTTTATTGAAGACTTGAGTTGACGGTGAAATCTTTCTACCATTCCGTTGGCACAAGGATGGTAGGCTGTTGTACTGATCCGTTTTATACCAAGAAGCAATGTCAGAGAGTGGAAAAGATCAGATTGGAATTGAGTGCCGCGATCAGTAGTGATGGTGGTAGGGACTCCAAACTGGGAAATCCAGTGGGTGACAAACGAACGAGCAACTGTGTCGGCAGTAATATCAGCAAGCGGGATGGCTTCAGGCCAACGAGTGAAACGATCGACACAAGTTAGTAAATATTTGTTGCCTCGAGATGGTGGCAGAGGTCCGACGATATCAATATGAGCATGGGCGAAACGAGCATCTGGTGTTGCAAAAGTGCCAAGTGGTGTTTTTGTATGGTGTGTGATCTTTGACTGTTGGCGAGGAATGCAAGATCGAGTCCAGTTACGAATATCTTTGTTCATACCAGGCCAAACGTATCTTTGACTAACAAGATGCCGCGTAGCAGATATTCCAGGATGAGCAAAACAATGCAAGGTTTCAAAAATGAGACGACGATATGGTAGTGGAACATATGGACGAGGTTGAGTAGTGGTGGTGTCACAAGGGATGGTTCCAGCTGAAAATGGTAGAGGAAATTCTTTGAGTTGAAGTGAAGATGACCGTAGTCTAGGCAACTCTGGATCATCCTGCTGAGCCTTGGCAAGGACTGCAAAATCTAGAGTTGATGAAACGTTGCATTGATTTCCACCCGAGATAGGGTATCTGCAACAATGTTCTCTGTTCCCGGAAAGTGACGAATATCGGAAGTGAATTGCGAGATGTAATCCAAATGACGTGTCTCGCGTGGAGAGTATCGGTCCGGAGAAACAGATAAACCATGGGTAAATGGCTTATGATCAGTAAAGACAGTGAAATGACGTCCCTCCAAATTGTGGCGGAAATGGCGTATGGCGGGGTTAACAGCAAGCAGTTCACGTCCAAAAGTACTGTATTTTCGTTCTGCAGGTTGTAAACGCTTTGAAAAGAAAGCAATGGGTTTCCAAACGCTATTGATACATTGTTGAAGGACTCCACCAACAGCAACATTAGATGCGTCTACCATGAGGCAATACGGTGCAATTCGAGATGGATGTACAAGAAGAGTGGCTTTGGCGAGGGCAGCTTTGATGTTGATGAAAGCAGATTCAGTATCACCAGTCAGCGGGAAATGATCGTCAATGTTGCATTTAGGTGACAAGAGATCAGTGAGCGGCGGTAAAATTGTTGCACAGTGAGGAACAAATCGGCGATAAAAGTTGATCAAACCAAGGAACTCACGAAGCTTGCGAAGAGATGTTGGAATTGGAAATTCCTGGATGGCTTTTACTTTGGCAGGCAGGGGTGAAATACCGTCTGCAGAAATTCTATGACCCAGAAAGTCCAACGAAGGGACACCAAAAACACATTTGACAGGGTTAATAATGACACCATACTCTGATAGTCGGCTGAATAGAATTTCTAAATGCTGTAAGTGATCAGATTCTGTGGAACTAGCAATTAGTAGGTCGTCGATATATGCGTAGACAAAATTAAGACCGCGAAGTACCTCATCCATGAAACGCTGAAACGTTTGAGCTGCATTTCGAAGTCCAAAAGGCATTCGTACAAATTCAAACAAACCGAATGGCGTGCTGATTGCAGTCTTTGGGACATCATTTGGATCCACAGGAATTTGATGATAGGCACGGACGAGGTCGATCTTGGAAAAAATGGTTGCACCATTTAGATTGGCAGAGAAGTCATGAATGTACGGAATAGGGTAGCGATCAGGAACTGTTATGTTATTAAGAGCTCGGTAGTCACCGCAGGGGCGCCAGTCACCAGGTGTAGGTTTTGGGACCATGTGAAGTGGAGAGCTCCAGCGACTTTCGGAAGGACGGATGATTCCAAGTTGTAGCATGTGCTCAAACTCAGCTTTTGCAACAGGCAAGCGATCAGGAGCAAGACGGCGTGGACGACAGAAAACAGGTGGGCCTTGTGTTCGGATGTGATGAGTGACATTGTGGATTTTATGGCTGATCTTGGAAAAAATGGTTGCACCATTTAGATTGGCAGAGAAGTCATGAATGTACGGAATAGGGTAGCGATCAGGAACTGTTATGTTATTAAGAGCTCGGTAGTCACCGCAGGGGCGCCAGTCACCAGGTGTAGGTTTTGGGACTGTGAAGTGGAGAGCTAGCGACTTTCGCTGATTAAGTATGGAGCTTGCAACAGGCATGTGGACGACAGAAAACAGACTTGTCGCCTCTAGTCGCTGGCGGGGCAGTTTTCCTGGTGTTGAGTTGTGGAAGTGAAACTGCATGGCGGAGTGCAATTGCGAGCAGCTGAGCCAAAATGCCAGTGGTACCAACATTGAAGACCTGTATGACGACTTGCATTAGAGGACCGTGGACGAGAAGAGCGAGGTGGAGTTGGATATCGACTGCGAGAACGAGGCTGTGAATTGAAACGGCTTGTCAGGGTTTGAACTTGAGAAGTCAATGTGCTAATTTGTTGTCGAAGATCAGCAATTTCATTGGACGGAGAAGAAGGTATAACTGAAGAAATGGCAGCAATTGGCATTGAGGGTGTAGCAACTTCAAGGATTTGGTCAGCAATGGTGGCTAATTTTTCAATTGAAACGGTGTCTGGTGAGGAAGCTAGGACCTGTCGAACATTCGTTGGCAAACGTTGGAGGAATAACTGACGGAAAATCCTGTCTTCCAACCGGGTATTACCTAGTAGATGTTGCATCTTGCGAAGAAGCTGTGAGGGTCATTTATCACCAAGTTCTTCAGAAATTAACAACTGATGAAAACGCCTTTGTTCTGAAGCTGATGTGCGCCTTATGAGCTCCGCTTTAAGCTGGTCGTAAGGCTGGTTAACTTGAGGATTGATAATGACGTCGCGAACTTCCTGAGCAATTTCTGGTTGCAGTGAGGCTATAACATAATTATATTTTTTTGTCTGTGAATTAATGCTACGGGTTAAGAACTGGGCCTCTACTTGTGCGAACCAAACTTTGGGTCGTTAGGCCAATATGGAGGTAATTTCAAACTCACGGCAGCGACGGGAGCGGCCATGGCTGCTGTAGATAGAGCCGGAGTTGGGACGTCTAGTTGTGATTCGTCGTTCATGATAAAATAGCAGCAAGCGAATCAAGCGTAAAACAACGTTGGAAAACGGCGAGCGATGCCATGGTTAAAACGTCGTGGTCACCAATTTAGTAAATGTTGTTGCTTATTTGTATTAATTAATTTAGTGAAAAACCAAAAAGAAACTCTTCACGTGTCTCTGTGAAACTTTATCATCAATTCAATTAAAAAAATAGCTTTGTACAAACTCAAAAGTTGATAATAGAGAGTTATTGAATTTAATACAAAAGGAAGAGAAAAGAGCTAGATGAAAACAATAGGGCTAAAGAATTACTACGCAAGTTGAAAACAAAAGGTGTTCTCTGCTATTGTTTTGTGAGTTCGCTACAAATGAATAAGAAGGAAATAGGGAATCCGTATATCATAGTGATACCTTTATCTTTGCAATAGATACAGCTATCAGCTCAATGAATACAAGATTCACGTCTCATAAGGCAATTTTGACAGATTTTGCCTTGCTCAACCCTGAATGTTTTGAAAATATAATTGAAAAGACAGTTGTGTGCAGTGTCATTCAAAAAGGTTGCGAAGAATTACGGCCTGGATGACGAAAAATTGAGAGATGAGTACAGCTCTTTCGTCAATAATAACCATAAATTTAGGAAAGTTAGAGAGAAGAGCAGCCCTCAGCCGGCTGCAGGAGAAAGTCTTGATTTAAGCCCCGGCCAAACAACTCGATTTTTCACTCCACCTTGTTTGGCCACCTTGTCGAGCAAGTCGATTGTCGGGGAATCCCCATCGCGCTTTCTTCGGTATTCTAGTAAATTCTTAACCTATTATTCTTAAATCAACACGTTTATTTTTTATTGTGTATGTTTGGGTTACATAACTACGGAACTATGCAATTTACGTAAAAGCCTCACTTTGAGGCCGAGACAGTAGATTAAGGATCCAGCCACAATTTCTGGAAGCAGGCTATTGTAATAGGATTAACTACGTCAATCGTATTCTTAATTTTTATTGGCTTGAGTAGTAGTTAAAATTGATTGTGATTGGTTAAGATAAATTTTAGTTCCTTGTTTGCTTCTATAAAAGCTGGTAATTGAATCGAGCGCTAAGGATTCGTAGAGAGAGATTTTTTCACTATGCACGTTGAGTTGTGTTGAGAAAAAAATTCAGAAAACATAAAGATTGTCTCTCTCTAAGAGTTTACTCTAATCATTTATTGAACCTGCGTTAACAAGCAGAGATATTCTCTACATTAATGGTCCACCGAGCCGGATAAATGAAATAGAGTAAAAGAATTTGGGAACCGAAAATGGATAATTTGGAGAAGACAAAAAAGAAGAGGAAATCTCATCGCGGAACTACGACAAAGCTCCTGAATAAAGTGGAAGATTCGTTTACAACAGTTACTAGCAGATCTAAAAGGCAAAGCAGAAGTTTTAAAAGCGTTAGATGGTGAATTTTTTGAATTGATGATCGAAGAAGCAGACGACGATGCCTGTGATGAAGAAGCAGAAGAAGCTAGCGACATAAAAGAGAAAATTACGTAAAACTTAATTTCGCTTGAAAATGCCTTGAAGGAAATGGATATACAGTCATTAAGATCGGAATCCGGGACAAATTTGCAACCAGAGCCCTCGGGGAATTTGGCAAGGAGTAGTTCCAGAGAGAGCCTAAATTCAATGACATCCTCGGTCAATACAGGAGATATCTGCAGTAGAAAAGTAAAACTCTCAAAGCTGGAATTGAAAAAGTTTTATGGAAAGATCGCAGAATGGTCAGAGTTCTGGGACGGGTTCAAGAGTGCGGTACACGATGACAGCCAACTTGCCAAGGTAGACAAATTTAAATATTTAAGAAGTTATCTAGAAGAGCCGGCACGAAGCGTCGTGACGGGATTTGCACTTACAGACGCCGATTATGAGTCCGCCATTGAACTGTTGAAAAGCAGATATGCGAAGCCCAGCGTTATAAAACGAGCCCACATCAATTACCTTATCAATATGGCTCCAGTCTACAATGAGAAGAGTTTGCAGAGATAGCGTTATTTGCATGATCAGATCGAAACACGCTTTCGCGCAATGGAGGCTCTAGGTGTAAGAAAAGAGACCTACTCAAGTTTTGTTGTTCCTGTTCTAATGGGGAAACTTCCAGAGTCCGTGAGAATCAATATGATTCGATTTGGAAAGAACCATATGGACTGGAACTTGGACGACATGTTGGAAGCTTTTCAGAAGGAGCTAGAAGTTCTGGAGGGACATTTTCCCATCATGCAGCGAGCCCAGCAAGGAGACAGAAGACAAGAGCAGCATTCCAACAAGCCAAGACAGCAGGATAGACCTCCAACGGCCTCTTCCTTGCTTACTACAAGAGATGCTAAGATGAAGTGTGCATTCTGCAAAGAAAATCACGCATCCGAGAAGTGTGAAAAGGTGAAGGATCCGGACGAGCGTAAGATAATTTTAATTAAGAATGCTAGGTGTTTTAGTTGCTTAAAACCAGGCCATAGACCTTTTAAATGTCGTCTTGAGGTAGATTGTAGGAATTGTAAGGGAAATCATCACTGCGCCATTTGTCCTAATCTTGCCCGAAGTAAGGAAGCGCAGCCTAAGCCTAATGCACCTCAGCTTGACCCCACCGCATCGGCTTGGGTAGGTAGCACTGGCTCTGAAGTGAATGTGGCCCTGCAGACAGCCTTAGCTCTGGTGAATGGCAAGGATAGAGTGAGAGTTTTATTTGATACAGGAAGCCATAAATCTTTCAACACAGCTAAGGCTGTTGGCAGACTCAGATTAAGGCCTGTGAGGAGTGAACAGCTAGGAATAAAGGCGTTTGGGAGTAAGGAGGCACATGTTGCTTTGCGAGATGTAGTGCAAATTTCGCTAAGTCTATGCAATGGAGGAGAGAGTGTAATAATAGAAGCTTTTGTAGTTAAGGATATCGCTGATATTCCTAATGTTCATATAGAGGTAGTTAAAAAGAAATTTGCACACTTAACAAAGTTGTCATTCTCAGATCTTTGCAAATCCAAAGACAGCTTGGAAGTTGATTGCCTAATTGGATCGGACTGGCTATGGCAATTCCAATTGGGGGAAACGATACGAGGGGGGCTAGACGAACGTGTGGCGGTCAAGACCAGCTTGGGCTGGGTTTTATCAGGACCGGTTAAAGGTGAGCAACTTGATTCTATTGACTGTAATGTGAATTTTTGTATTGATTCTATACCTCCTTTAGTTGCAGGTGAAAAACATGATTTAGATAATCAGATACAAAGGCTTTGGGACCTTGATAGCATTGGAATTCGAGAAAAAGATAAGGTGCATGAAAATGTACTTGATGATATTGCGTTTGTGGGTAACAGATATTCTGTTGGGCTTCCCTGGAAATCTGGACACAAGCCCCTAGCTTCAAATTATAATGTTAGCTTGCATCGTTTGAAGGGTCTTGTCAGGAAACTAGAGCAGAACCCAAAAATTTATGAACAGTATAATGACATTATTTCCCAGCAGGCTGCAGAGGGAGTAATAGCGAAGGTCACAGATCTTGAACCTGTAGGTAAGGTACACTATCTCCCTCACAGAGCGGTAGTGAGAGAGAATGTAGAAACCACCAAGGTTAGGGTACGATGCTTCTAGCAAGGATCGTGAATCTGGGGTGTCATTGAACGACTGTTTGCATAAAGGACCCTTTCTGACCCCTTTTATCTTTGATGTGCTTCTCAGGTTTAGAATCTACCCTGTAGCTCTTGTTGGGGATATTGAAAAGGCCTTTTTAAAAATCGAAATACATCCCAAGGACAGAGACCCTTCAAGATTTTTGTGGCTAAGTGATATACATGCCAAGAACCCTGGAGTAGTAATCTACCGGTTCAACAGAGTGGTATTTGGGTGTAACTCATCCCCTTTTCTCCTAAACTGTGTTTTGAGACACCACATTATGAAATATGAAAATGAGGATCCTGAATTTGTGGAAAAGATGATAGGAGGGTTCTTTGTTGACGATCTAGTGGTAGGTTGTGAAGACACACAGGAAGCTTTAACCCTATATAAGAAGGCTAAAAGTAGGATGAGCGATGGAGGATTTCATTTGCGGAAATGGAAAACTAATGACAAAGAGTTAGCAGGGGAGATAGCAAAGAAGGAAATAAATGGAGTGAAAGAGGACAAAGCCTCTAAACATGAAGACACATCGTTTGCTAAGGAGACTCTAGGCATGCCAGACAGTATGGGGCAGAAGACTAAGGTTTTGGGTGTAACGTGGGACAACACAAGAGATACCTGGGAGTTTAATCTGGGGAACAGAGGCGAGGTAATAGGTGAAACAGCCCAACCCACTAAAAGAGGTATCTTAAGCGCCTTAGCTTCTATATTTGACCCCCATGGGCTTGTTAGCCCTATAGCAGTATCAGCAAAAATCTTGTTTCAGGAGTTGTACTTAGGAAAAATCAGCTGGGACGATCCACTTCGTAAGGATAAGCTTGAAAGATGGGAAGAATGGGTCAAGGATTTAAAACAGACGGGTACAATTTGCCTTCCTAGGTGTGTTGTTTCCAAAAACAAAGGGAAGATATTGAGTCGGCAGTTGCACGGATTTGCTGATGCCAGCAAAAAAGCATATTGTGGGATGGCTTACCTTGTAGAAGAAGCCACTGAGGGGACCTTTACTAGGCTGCTGAGTGCTAAGACAAGAGTTGCCCCTTTGAAGGAATTAACAATACCCCGGCTAGAACTAATGTCTGCAAGGATACTAGCTACACTGATGAACACCATTATTCAAGCCTTCGGTCCACAGTTTAAGTTTGATTGCATTAAGTATTGGCTGGACAGTAAAACCGCTCTCTATTGGATCAATAACAATGGAGAATGGAAGCAATTTGTCCAGCATCGTGTCAATGAAATTTTGCGCTCAACCACCAAGGAAGACTGGGGACATGTATCAGGTATCGACAACCCAGCAGATCTAGATTCTAGGGGGTTCACAGCAAGCCACTTGAAGGAGAGCACATTATGGTGGCAAGGACCTCATTGGTTAAAGGAAGGACAAAACAGCTGGCCTAATGTGTTCACTTTAGAAGACTCGCCTGATGTGAAGGAAGAAAGAAAGAAGAACGCAAAGGTGCTAATGCTCACAGATATGAGGCAAGGAGTGAGTGAGGTTGTTAAGGTAGACAGGCATAGAAGTCTAGGTAAGTTGCTCCGGGTCACTGCCTTTGTCCAGAGGTTTATAGAGATACTAAGGTGTCATAGAACAGGAAGCAAACCTAAAAAAGGACCCTTAACTATGGAGGAAATAGAAAGAGCAGAAAGAACGTGGATTGAAGGAAGACACTCAACAATCTTTGAAGATGGGTGAAGATTTCAAAAAGTTGTCAGTGCAGCTAGGTGTTGTAAGTGAAGATGGGCTCTTTATTTGTAAAGGGAGATTAGGTAACTCGGATTTGGATTACAGAAGTAAGTATCCAATACTACTCCCCAAAAATGACGCTTTCACTGATCTTGTGATCCAAGATTGTCATGCTAGAGTGCACCACAACAAACTCCGATCAACCCTAGCTGAATTTAGAAGGAGATTTTGGGTACCCCAGTGTAGGCAATAAGTGAAGCGGGTGATAGGAAAGTGCCAGATATGTAGAAGACAAGAGGGAAGACCGTTTAACCCACCTCCTATTGCAGAACTACCAAGCTTTAGGGCAACTGAGACCCCACCTTTCAGCAACACTGGAGTCGACTTTACTGGTCCGTTATATGCAAAGAGCAGTACAGGTGAAATGAGAAAAGTATACATAACCTTATTCACCTGCTGTGTAACTAGAGCAATACATCTGGAATTGATTTCTGACTTACATACATCTACGTTCGTTAATTGCTTAAGAAGGTTTTGTGCAAGAAGGGGAACTCCTAGGCTTATAAACTCAGATAATGCTCTTACATTTAAGGCAGCAGAAAGTTTGTTGAAGAAGCTGACACAAGATCATATGTTCCAGGAGTTCACACAAAATCGTAGAATAATATGGAGATTTAACTTTTCCCTTTCCCCTTGGTGGGGAGGGTATTTTGAACGCATGGTGGGTAGCGTTAAGCGGTGTCTAAGGAAGGTACTAGGTAATGCTAGGTTGACATACGATGAGCTTAGTACAGTATTGACTGAAGTTGAGAATACCCTGAATTCCAGACCCTTAACCTATCTGTACGACGAACTCGGGGAAGCTTTGACACCTTCTCATCTACTTCATGGACGTAGACCCCCAGCTTTATCGGAGGATATAGAACCAGAGCTCGAGTTAGATGAAACTGGTGATAAACTTTCGAAAATATCTTTATATCTTACAAAAAAACTCTCACATTTCTGGAATCGTTGGAAAAAGAGTATATGGTAGATTTAAGAGAGTTCCATAAGCTGAATAATCATAATAATATTATTGTTGAAAAGGGAGATCTAGTGTTGTTGCAGGAAGATAACATCAAACGTGGACAGTGGAAAGTTGGCATTGTGAAAGAAATTATATTCGGAAAGGGTGGAGAACCAAGGGGTGCAACAGTACGTAAGTATGAAAAGGGTAAGATTTTACATCTCAACCGACCCCTTCAAAAGCTCTACCCGTTGGAGATAGCTCGTGATAATAAAGGTGATAAGAGTAAGGAGAAAGTTCTGTCAAGGCAAGAAAGTGAATGTAGTGTTAGAGAGGAGAATGAGAGTAGACGCCAGTCGAGCCGTGCAGCAGCCAAGGATGCGCGCTGGAAGTCTAAGCTTATGCTTGACCCATAACCTGGGTCAAGGAGGGGGGAATGTCGGGGAATCCCCATCGCGCTTTCTTCGGTATTCTAGTAAATTCTTAACCTATTATTCTTAAATCAACACGTTTATTTTTTATTGTGTATGCTTGTGTTACATAACTACGGAACTATGCAATTTACGTAAAAGCCTCACTTTGAGGCCGAGACAGTAGATTAAGGATCCAGCCAGAATTTTCTGGAAGCAAGCTATTGTAATAGGGTTAACTACGTCAATCGTATTCTTAATTTTTATTGGCTTGAGTAGTAGTTAAAATTGATTGTGATTGGCTAAGATAGATTTTAGTTCCTTGTTTGCTTCTATAAAAGCTGGTAATTGAATCGAGCGCTAAGGATTCGTAGAGAGAGATTTTTCATGATGTATGTTGAGTTGTGTTGAGCAGAAAATTCAGAAAACATAAAGATTGTCTTTCTCTAAGAGTTTACTCTAATCATTTATTGAACCTGTGTTAACAAGCAGAGATATTCTCTACAGAAGGACTCTCTGGAAATGCTGTCTCTGCGAAGATTTTGGAAACAGCTAAAGAGCTTGGGCTTGACATGAATAACTGCAGGGGTCAAGGGTACGATGGAGCCGGTAACATGGCAGGCAAATGCACTGGTGCTGCCACCTTGATACAAAAAAAGTAAAGCCAAGCCTTGTATGTTCACTGCAAATCACATTTGCTGAATCTATCTGTAGCATCGTCATGTAATTTTCAGTTAGTCCGAAACATGATGGGCCAGGTGCGGGTGGCTAATCAATTTTTTGAAGCACACCCCAAACGTTCAAAAGTGTTGAAAAATAGCATCGTACGTATTCTTCCACAAGCGCGTCATAGACGGCTACTCAATGTTTGCCGTACCAGATGGGTTGCTAGAATTGATGGGTTAGATGTGTTTATCGAACTCTTTTGGCCAATAGTTGACACACTTGAATCAATTAAAAATAACGATGATGGAAGTTGGAGTACCGATTCAATTAGAGATGCCAGCAGTCTATTTTTTGCAACTATATCACTCGAATTCATAGTTTGCTTAGTTACTGTGTCCAGCATTCTAGAGTACACCCGGCCTCTAACAAAACAACTGCAGGCAAGTGAGATGGATGTTGTTGCTGCCTTTGATAACATAACTCTTCTCTATACCATGCTTCAAGGGGTGAGGAGAGACATTGTCAAAGAACACGATGTTTGGTATAGAAAAGCTATAGTGCTGGCAGACAAGGTTGGTACTCTTCCTTCACAGCCACGCACTACCAAGCTTCAGAAGAATCGAGAAAACACCCCAGCTGACAATCCTTCCGATTACTATCGACGAGCTGTATCAGTTCCATTTCTTGAATTTTGAGTCAGTGAAATGCAAAGACGATTTTGCAAAACGAATTTCGATCTATTTAATGTGTTTTCTGGCCTCCCAAGTAAAGTTGTGTCTGAAAGTGACTGGGAAGCAAAGTTTTCTAAATTTTTAGAAATGTTCAAAAGCGATCTCCCGGAGCCATTTCACCTTACAACTGTGTTAAAAATGTGGGAAACCATGTGGAAAACGAGTCTACAACCTCTTCCTACCACTTTAGCTTCCCTTTTACCATCTATTGACCAGCTTACTTTTCCAAATATCGACACCGCTATGAAATTTGCTGCTACATTGACTGTCACATCTTGCTCCTGTGAACGATCCATTTCTATTCTGCGAAGGCTGAAAACATACCTCAGGAACATTATGCGACAAAGCAGAATGAGTGCACTAGCAATGATACACGTTCACCGAGAAATACCTATTGACATAGACAGGGTAATTAACCAATTTGCAGCAGAACGACCTAAATGAATGAGGCTGATTGGCATTCTGAACGAGGATCCAGGTGACGAGAAAATCGACGACGTTGCAGTTTAGATGGTGTCAGATAGACTGTTTTTTGTGATTTCGGATCTTATGATTTGCATTTGCTTTTTGCTTATTTCAACCATGACAGAAACGATTTTCGTTATGATAGTTGTGTTGATCAAATTTCGAACTTGTTTTAGAAAAAATTAATTAGGGAGTGCATTTGCCATGTTCATGATGTTTTTATAAGTGCTATTTTCAAAAACATTTTGTTTGTTATTATGTCCTTTCATATGTTACATTGTAAATAGCATTTGACAATTGCGCTTTTGAGCTCTTAAAACTTGCTGTCAGCAATTTCAAAAATCATGGCATGTATTGGAAACCGAGAACTATATGGTTACAGCATTTAACCATATAGTGGGCATGCCCCGCAAATGAGAAGGGCGTGGTCTTAATCCTAAAAGATTTGAGCTATATTCGAAAAAATTCCTGGATCCGCCCCTGTTGATGGTTCTGAAATCTCAGTGGAAACATTCCAATACATGTTTGTTGCGATGGCAGAGAAACACAACTTCAGCAAGAGGACGCAGACAGATTTGCTACTTTTCCTAAACATAGTTTTACCCCAGAATGTGGACATTCCAGACAGCAGTGCTGCCATCTCCAAAAGCATACGACACCTCCAGTACCAAAAAACCGAGTACTTGAAATGCAAAGTTTGTCATCAAGAATTGCATGGAAATACACCTTGTCACATTAAAACCTGTGAAAATTACAATAAAAGAAAGGAGCTGTTTAAATACGTTATCATGGATCTGTTACCACAAATTCAAAGAATTATATTTGGTAAGTAAAGTACCTAATAAACATTACTTGACAGATAACCTATAGATATATCGCAAGTCTTTAAATAAGCTAGCCTTGTGTCCCAGACCCCTTAGGGTCTCATATGCAGACTTGACTGATCAGTTCTGATATAAAAATTTTCCCTAGTGTTTTTTTGACTGCTGCCGAATAAACCCCCATCCCAAAATAATTCTTACAAATTAAGCTTCTGGGTTTTTTGTTCGATGATTTACGGTACTGCAAACCAATTTTATGGAGAGGTCAGATTTTGATCAATTGTACTCAACAGGGTGTGCTCGTTTAATTTGATGTTGAGATTGCTCTTTCAATTTTGGGAGGTTGCAGAAATTGCAAGATCCTACTTCCTGGGTGGCTTAAGCATTGACAAAGTTAATCATCGAAAGATAATTTAATTTTCAAAACTCCTTTTAGACAACTGGTCTTGCATAGAAGAAAATGTTTCATCATACCAATGCCAAGGTCATTTCAATGATGTTAGTGATGGATTAATCTATCGAGATGAGGTTCCAAGAAATCCAGATATAAACCGAACATATACCTTTTCATTAACTTGCCACATTAAGAATTTTGATCAGAGCACTTTTTAACAGTGTGACTACTGGGGAACGTTCCCCAGTAGGCCCAATGCTCTCCCCAGTAGTGAACACCAAAATCACAGAATTTCCCCAGTAGTTGGGGCCCTTTCATATCTCACGTACCTACATATTTATCTTTTGAAAATCAACTTTTAAATCAAGTTTATTGAATTTATAAACTAAACTCAAGATGTGAACGGTTTCCAAAATTGAAAGATAATAAAAAAACCGCCTTTACGCAAACAAACAGAATTTGTTTTTACTCCCAAATGCCTTTAGTGTTTTATTTGGTATTGTTTATAACATCAGGCCCCTCCTCCCCTTTGTTGTTCTGTTCTTTTTCCGTTCAGGTTTTTTGTCCTCTCGTGTGAAAGTAAAACAGATGTTGCGGATGTCGGCTTTCATTCACCCCCTTGTGTAATTCCTTTGTCTAAATCGAACCTATGTCGTCATTCTGACGCTCTTTGTTTAAATGTGTGATCATTGACAGAACATTCGCTATATACAGGGCCGCCGGAGCCAGGGGGGCCACGGGAGCACAGGCCCCCTCTGTTTGCAAAAAGTATAAACAAGTGCCCCTTTTCGAAAAATATGTTGCGTGTATTTTTCACTGCCAGATATTCTGCCTTTGGAAACTAAGTAAAATAACATAACTCTGGACGTTGTTAGAGGACCATTCAATGAAAATTCATTAAATTTTTACTTGGTCTTGATGCAAGAAGCGCAAGCTCCTTTGATGAACAATATCATCTGCGAAGGAGACTGCCAGTTTCGCGAGAAAATGTCCTTAGTCTTAAGCAACAAACGCATTAGTGAAAGGTCCGATCAAGTCCCCAGTGGGCACAGTCAGTTGGTCCAATGTAAATCGTGTGTGTTCTTGAGTGTAAAAACTGGACCTCTATCTTTGATTCTGGGTTGAGTAAAATATACCCTATTCTCCGACTTTGCCAAAATTGTATGA